GCCGTGATAGTCCTTTTTTTAAATTTTTAGTCTTTTCTGATTTTACTTATTTATTTTGCAGTGCTGGGGATCAAACCCAGAGCCTTGTGCATGCTAGACAAGCACTCTGCCACTGAACCATAGCCCCATCTCCAAATTTTTTTTTTTTTCTAACACCCAATTCTTGCTTCATTAATGCAAGGCCTCTCATTGCCCCAGGGGTGTATTAATGTTGTATGTTTCCTATCTCCTCTCCTCTGGGTGTCTGCTCCCCACTGGGTTGGTCCTCTTGTTGGCTGTTTCTTCCCATGCTGCCTGAGGAAATAGGTGTGTGCTATGTTTAAGGGCTGGTACCAATACACCACTGGGAGCACCCAGCCTGAGGGATGGGGTTTCTGGAGACACCCAGAGGCTGGGCTCTCTGGGTTGGGTCTCCATGGCTTGTCAGATGCCCTAAGAAAAGTCTTGTTCTGCTCAGAGGAAACAGACCTAGCTGCTGGTTTCCTAAGAGCCTTAAGGGCCTACACTTCCACTTAATTAGCTGGTGTTCCACCGTGAGGCAGTTGGGGCAGGAGTTCTGGAGACCGCCACTCTCTAATGAGGCTCCATCATCATTCCTTTCCCTGCCCATTTCTCGAACCAGGCATCATAAGTGGCGTGAGCTCATGGAGTCCTTTCCCACCCAGATCTGTGCAGTGTCAGCTTGTCCAACTCCCTTGTTCTTTGTCCCTGTGGGTTTAAGTGTACTAAAAGCCCCTCATTTTTGTTAGAGGTTGGGAGTTCCAACAAAGGGCACGGCCAGGCCACCATCATTGCCCAGGGACTTCCAGAATGACAAGCTCTGGGAAGCCCCCACACCCTTGCCTGTGTTAGAGGAATGTGGTGTGCACAGGTCACCTGGCCTGCTTATGGCCTCCAAGACTATGTGCACTCCTCACTCCTTCGTAACGCTGTGATGGTCCTAATTGCAGCATGGGACTGGTTATTGGTGCTAAGACCTGTCCTGACCTGCACTGAGCTCTCTGGCTTCTGGGCCCTGCTTGTGTCTCCTGCCTTCCTCCTGCCTCTGAGCCACCCTGCTTCGTGGTCCCACAGCTCAGGGAGGCTTCAGTCACTGTGTTGGGGCCTCACCCCACTATTTCTAGCTGCTGCTGGGCAGTGGTCACCTTGAGGGCCAGGGAAGGTCAGAGCTGCCCTTGGTGCCTGTGCTCTTGTCCATGTGGCATGGGAGCACCATCACCTCCTGGTCCTCGGGGCAGGCTGTCCCATGTTCTCCTGTTCTGTCACTTTTTTCCTACTCCTGACCACTACGGGGCTTTCAGCTATCTCCTAACTCTTGAGGGGACAGCCAGTGGGGCTGGGCTGGACTGGACCAGGGCTCTTAACTCTGATCTGGGATCTCTAACTTTGGCTGGGCTGTGACCTCTGGGTGCTGGGCTGTGGGGGGGCAGGGCTTTAACAGCTGGTTCCCCCCAGGTCCTTCCTCAGATTCCCGTGAAGAGTGGAGGTCCCCATGGGGCAGGGGTCCTCGGTGAGTGGCTGACCCTCTCCCTGCCCCTGCCTTGGAGGCCCCTCCCCCTCCAGATGCCCAGTTGGGGAGGGAGGTTGGGCAGGCACAAGGGACTGGGGTGGGGCTCCCAGGTGGGGGTGCCTGCTGGAGCCACCCTGTCCCTTCTCCCAGGGGTGCACCTGGAGGGTCCGTTCATCAGCCGGGAGAAGCGGGGTGCACACCCTGAGGCCCACCTCCGCTCCTTTGAAGCCAATGCTTTCCGTGACGTGCTGGCCACCTATGGCCCCCTGGACAATGTCCGCATCGTGACGCTGGCCCCTGAGCTGGGCGGCAGCCATGAAGTGATCCAGGCACTGACAGCCCAGGGCATCTGCGTGTCCGTAGGTGAGGGGCCCTCTGTGGGGGTGGGACCTGCCTGGAGTTCTCTGCTGGTACAGAGTTCCAATCCAGGTCCCCCATACAGGGCACTCCGTGGCTGACCTGCAGGCTGCAGAGAAAGCAGTGCAGAGTGGGGCCACATTCATCACTCACCTCTTCAACGCCATGTTGCCTGTGAGTGCCACCCCAACTCCTGGGTGGACAGGGGCTTGGCAGCTCCTCCTGTCACTCAGTTATCCCCTCCTTCCTTGCTCAGTTCCACCACCGTGATCCAGGCATTGTGGGGCTCCTGACCAGTGACCAAGTGCCCCCGGGCCGCTGCATCTTCTATGGGATGATCGCTGATGGTATACACACCAATCCTGCAGCCCTGCGCATTGCCCACCGGGCCCATCCCCAGGGTAAGCTGCTGGCCAGGGTGCAACAGGGAGGATGATGGCCAGCCAGGTCCTGAAGCACCTTTTCCCCCAGGGCTGGTGCTGGTCACTGATGCTGTCCCTGCCCTGGGCCTAGGCAATGGCCGCCACACACTAGGGCAGCAGGAGGTAGAGGTAGATGGGCTGACAGCCTATGTGGCAGGTGAGTGACACCTGTTCCCAGGTGCTGGGAACAGCACCTCGACAGGGGGAAGCGAGACCCTTGGTGTCCCCTTCTTGCATGCTGGGTCCCCAACCCCCAGCTCCTGAGCCTGGCCTCTGCTCTCAAGGCACCAAGACGCTGAGCGGCAGCATTGCCCCCATGGATGTCTGCGTCCGGCATTTCCTGCAGGCCACAGGTCAGTGGGTGGCGTGCACGTGTGTGTCTGGGGGCAGAGGCTACGTCCCGGAGAGCCGGAGGGGAGGCAGGAATTGGGAGAGTCCGTGCCAATATTCTTCTGCCACTGGGGACAGGATCCAGGGGATGGACTAGACCAAGTCCCTGCCCCCAAGGGAGCTTACAGGCAGAGGGAGGGTGGCAAGCAGTGGGTCACGGAGTCAGGTGATGGGTTGTGAAGTTGCTGTCCTGGGTCAGAGTAGAGTCCTTGCTACTCCCCACAGAAGGGTTGAGGCTCAGGGCTCTGGTGGGCAGGTGGGGAGAGTGAATGGCTTTCCAGGGCCCTGGGGTAGGCTGTGCAGAGGCCTCCAAAAGGGGAAGGTGTGGAGGGGCATCTTCCAGTACCTTAAGGTGTTAGAACCTGGGGGCATCAGAATCCAGAGGAGATGGATTAGGGCCAAGGGGCAGCATGGGCAACAGGGAGGCAGGAGAGGACTGTGTCTTGGCCTGGAGGTGACACAAAGCAGTGAGTGTAGTCATTTGACATTTGAGCTAGGGGCATGGAGCGCAGGACCCAGAGTAGCTGCTAGGTTGGTAGCGTGCCAGCCCTAGACGTCACTTCTTTGCATGCTCTTCTTAGGACATAGTAGGAGGCGGAGGATCCTTGGAGCACAAGAGTTTTGTCAGGGAGGAGCAGGTCTTTGTGGGACTGTGGTGGGGAGTAAGCTAGGGAAGAGAGCAAGCACATCAGAGCCCTGCACCCTGCCCAGCTGCTGGGGCTGGAGAAAACCAAGGGGAGCCTGGACTTCGGTGCTGATGCAGGTGAGGCTTCACACAGTGGCCGGCTTGGGTCTTCCCTTGTTTCTGGCTCCCCTGCCCAAACATAGCCTCTGTCCACCCCCACTTCCCCATCAGCCAGGCTTTTTGAAGGGAGAGCTGCAGGGAGCATTGTCCCTTGTCCTCAACTGTGAGGAGTTGGAGCTCTAGGTTCTAGGACCTCTGCCAGTCTGTGATGAGTCATGGTGTCCATAAATCATGGTTTTGGGCCTCAGTTTTACCAACAGGATTGGTCCTAGGGGAATGACTCCATATGGGGGATGAGAGCCTCACCCTCTCCCCACCTCACTCTCTTCTCACCCTCTGGCTCTGTCCTAGACTTTGTGGTGCTTGACGACACTCTCCATGTCCAGGCCACCTACATCTCAGGTGAGCTGGTGTGGCAGGCGGAAGAAGCCAGGCTGTGACCAAGGATGTTGGCTGGAGACGACACATGGCCCCAGCTGGACACTTGACAGGGCGGGCCCTTGGGGGAGCTGGTCTCCAGGGAGCAGTTTGGGAGCCCTGCTCCAGGTCAGCATCCATAGCCTGTAGCCACCACCCTGGAGACAGTGGATAAACATGCAGCCTGCAGGACTTGACTTGCCTTGTCTCTGAGTTTCGCTTGCATTCAAAGCAGGGCTGCTTGCTGTTTTCACTGTTGCCTTGGGCCTCCTTGGGAGGTGTCAGGCAAGACACCCAAGAATGCCCAAGAATGGTGGGCAGACCTGTCCAAGGTCAGCAGACCCATAGAAAGATGCTAAGATTAGAAGTGGGTGTGGGGAGTGAGGAGGGAAGCCATAGCTGTGAGTTGGAGGGCTGCAGCAAGAGGCTAGGGACAGTGATGACGGACAGCTGGGTGGGTAGAATGGAGGCCCACAGCTGTGGGCATATCTCTGGTCACTGCTCTGACCTTCAGGAGTGAGTCCATGCTGACCTTGGAATCGGGGTCACTCAGCACTGAGTTCAGGAGGTGGTGACCTGAGGGCCCCCAACTAGGGCCCAGGACCCCTCCCGCTGCTCCTTGATGTGCCTAGCCTGCACAGCACGCAGTCCTACCACCTGGCACTTTGTGGATACTCTACATCCCATTTCCTTTAGCGTCTTCTCTCCACAATCACATCTTCTGACTGACCAACCGCATCCAGGGACTGTGACAAGCTCTCCTTTGCCTCATGATTGGTGGCTTGGTAACTCTGCTTGGGGCTGTTGGGCAGCTTGGGGTCTTTCTGTTGTCTTAGGCTCTGTTTATACTTAGTGTCACTTGGGCAATCCACCACAGGCTGGCTTCCCCCTGACTTGGAGAACTTGGGTCATCAGGCCCCGGAAGCTTCACAGTGCAGGCTTTGGGGTCTTCTGGCTCTAAGGATGGCTGTGACATGAGGAAGAGATGTGGGGATGATGCCTTAACTTTCTCCTCATTTGGGTTTTGGGTAGGGTGACCCTTTCCCCTTTTCATGTGATGTGGTAAGTCTATAACCTGGTATAGGAGGTTGCAGACAAATGTCCCAGGACATTGTTCTATGTGGCTCCCATTAAAGGAACTGTCTCCAGGCCCAAAGAGATAAAAGCAGTCTAGGGACTCCTTCTGCGTTTGAGGGCAAACAGCCTGAGCAGAACAGCTGGTGGGGCTGGGGGCACCTACAGGGGCTCATGGGACCCATTGAAGCCCACATGCCACTGGATGTACACAGCCCAAGAAAGTGTGGTGCAGGAAGCCTGAGTCTACCTCACAGCTACATACCCCTCAACATGGCTTGCCAGTCCCACAGCATGCCAGATGCTGAGGACGGTGGGGACATGAGCTGAGCCATGAAGGGCGTCCACCAGGGCTCACTGTGGTCAGGAGAGGCAGGAAGGCTTGTCCCTCACCTGCCTGGTGCCAGGCCTTCCTGTGTTTTGAGTGTTAATTTGTTCCATCCTTCTGCCAGAAATCCAAATAGGGGTCCTATTTGTCATCCTGCTGTCAGATGGGGAAACTGAGGCACTGAGTACTAGAGCTGGACAGCCCCAGGGCCAAGACAAGCGCTCAGTGGTAGAGTGCTTGCCTGGTTCGCATGAGGCCCTGGGTTCCATCCTCAGCACCCCCCCCCAACACACACAAATTGGCCCTTCCCTGCTCCATTCCACTGGCCACTATGGTACTCTCTAAGTGCAGAGTCAGGAGGGCTTCCTTGCATGGCTGGTCAGCTGGTGACACCCAGAGATGACCAGAGCCAGCACTGGGAAGAGTTTCAGGAGACATGGCTTTGTGCCTGTAATCCCAGCCACTTGGGAGGCAAAAGGTTAGCAAGACCACATCTTAGCAAAAAAAGCTGGGTATGATGGTGCTCTCCTTTATCCCAGCTACATGGGAAGCATAAGGAGGAGGATTAGGTTCCAAACCTGTGCTGGGCAAAACACAGACCCTGTCTCAAAAATAACTAAAGCTGGGTACCAGCAGTTCACACCTGTAAGTCTACCTACTTGGGAGGCAGAGATCAGGAGAGTTGTAGTTCAAAGCCAGCCCAAATAGTTGTTGACACCCTGTCTTGAAAATACCCAACACAAAATAGGGCTAACAGAGTGGTTCAAGTGGTAGAGTGCCTCCCTAACAAGTGTGAAGACCAGAGTTCAAAGGCCAGTACCTAAAAAAAAAGCAAAAAGGGCTTTGGGGCCTGGCTCAAGTGGTAGTGCATCTGCTTGGCAAGAACCAGGTCCTATACCCCAGTACAAAAACAAGTTCACCTCAGAATAGAGGTGCAAACTGAGTTTGAGTGTTGATGGAACAAAGATGGCCAGGTGGATTGGGAGGGTCAGTGGGTTGCGGGCTGGGGGTGCAAACAAAGCTCTGGAGCCGAGGTGGGAGTTTGGATCTTATTTGAGGTGCAGGGGAAGTGCTGCTGGGGTTTTGTTTTCAGGTTATGGTAAAATCTAAAATTTGCAACCATTACACCACCACCCCCACAAAGATATCGTCAGCACTAACCTACCTTCCCAGCCTTTGGTGACCCCGGGTTCTGAGCTCTGAACACAAGGGTGCAGAGGCGCATTGATCAGCTGGGGGACCAGATCCGCTCTGGCCGTGGGTGACAGTGGCGCTGCAACAGACTTGCCTGCGCTGTGGGTGTGGACTGGGGGACGGCGACACCCAGAAGTCAGCTGACTCACGGTGTATGTGTGGTGCTGGGAGAAGGGGCGGCGGGGGCGGGGGGGAGAAGGGGCGGCGGGGGCGGGGGGGAGCGGGGGACTATGGGTGGGAAGCAGAGCAGGTGATCGTGAGACACCTGGCGAAGGCGGCCCGTTTTACCCGATGTGCCTTGTGTGCTCCAGTGCTGCGGGGCCCGCGTGCGCCCTCTGGCGGCCAGCTGAGACAGCGGCCTCTCCGTGGTGTGCGTAGCTCATCTGAACGAGGGTTCGAATCCCGGCGCTAACGACTCAGCCCAGTCCTTTTACCGCCGAGCCTCATCCCTGGAACGACGCGGTGATTTGCGGAGAGGTCGCCCGGGCTAGAGACCCTGGCTGGGGGTGAAGGGCTGGGAGTGTTAACTGTGCCTAGCAGCGGCAGGCTGGAGCTGGACGTCCGCGGTTGGCCTTGGTCCTGCCTAGCGGTCCACGCGGCACGGCGGGTCCCGGCAGGATGCGGCGCGCGGACACGCCCACTCTGGGAGAGCTGCTTCTGCGGGGCCAATCACAATGGTCATCGCGGAAGGACGCGTCGTGGCCCGGCCATAGGGCGCGCATTGCCCTCGGACCCAGCTGAATGCGCGTCCGGGACGCGTGTCCTAGTGCCCGTGTCCCGGACCCCTGCGCCGCTCCCTGGACCTTGCCTTCCCCGCCGCTTGCAGACAGATGTGCCCGGTCCTGCGCTTTTTGCCACAGCGCGTCGCGGTTTTTTTTTTTTTTTTTTTTAAGTGCAATTGCTTTGCAGTCCTCTTTTCAAGGTGAAAACACAAGTGGAGAGCGGCCCAGGCGGGGAACGGGTGGGTGGATCTGGCCCGCTGTCGTAAGAGGTGCGCAGGGTCCTCCTAGAAGGCTGTTTCCAGACATTAATTAGTTCCCGCCATAGATGACTTCAGTGCACCTCTGTAGTCCCAGCTCTCAGGAGGCAGGAGGATCCAAGGTTCGAGGCCAGCTTGGGCTACATAGAGAGTGCCAAGCCCACCTGGATCGCATCACAAGAACCTGTCTCAAAACAAACAAAAAGCAGGCTGGACAAGGGGGTGTTGTATAAGTTTCTTGTTCCTTCTGTAACAAATCACCACAAACCTTTTAGGATTCTGGAGGTCCACCTCAAAAATGGGTCTCAATGCACTGAAGTCAAAGTGGGGAAGGTCTTCCTTTCTTCTAGTTGCTGTGTGTGGGGCGGGGGTTGTCCATTTTCCCTGTTCCATTTC